TATGTAAATATATGTGGATTGTACAGTAAACTGTGGCCTCTAGGGGTGAGTCAAAATAGACCCATCTGAGGTCGCAGTGGAGGGGCGGTATTCGCCCTACTCTTATTGAACCTAGCCTTACCTAACCAATAGCTCCGGTAAGTAGGAAATCGTGAAATGGGCAAAACATGAAACACTATCTTATATCGAACTAACTGTTTCCGGATAAATGATTATAATGTTCGCAAAAATGTTGTTCAGATGTTCCTGTTCTTTTGAAACACTTCATAGGAATCATAAAAAAATCACATATACGGGTAAGGTTATTATCGAGAACAATTCATACCATTTTGTCAGTTGTCTTCCTGTGAGTTTTTGGGAACTATTTTAACTTAAAATTCAAGACAGTGACAAGGAGAACAAATACTTCAAATTGGAAGCATTTTCGTTGTAGGCAAATTAGGATATTGTTCACTGGGTATCTCGTCCTTGTGATGCACTTCAATGCCCTGTAGTTTCAGAAAAAAAATCTTCTATGGGGTGAGTATATGTACTGAGTAGATATGTTTTCAATATCTCTCGACGATGTTCAATCTCCTTTATTTTCTTAGAGAAAATACTGATCATATCCATACTGAAAAGCCGTACATTTGACTATTTGATTGAAAGCAAATTCAATTGAGAATTCGATTTTATAATGTCTCTATCTAATATTGAGATGCTCCTCATTCGACCCCTATTTGAGTGTCATTCCATTCTCATATAGGTGTTGTTTCACAATTATATGGACTTGATTACAGTGAAAAGGGAATTATGCTGGCGCCTATTCAATTCATAAATGTTTCAAAGGTTATACAGTTTTGAATAACAGCTGAATATAGCAATTTGGCTAGGTTATATCGTATGCCTTATTTCTTGGAAAAAATGAGCGCCGATCAGCTTCCACATACATCTCCTCTCCCTCTACATTGAAAAAAGAAATTTAATTTCGATTATATATTGAAAAGGAATATTTTCAGATGAATTATGAACATACAGAAATTGATATATATATATATACAGTGTGTCCCACTTACCATGCTCACCATGGGTATCTTTTTAACGGTCACAGATACGAGGTCGGTTAAATGACACCAAATGTGGAGTTTGTCAAGGCCAACTATAATGTGAAAAAATATTTTGATGAAATCTATTCGTTTTTGTTTCATACGCAAAAAACAGATTTTGATCATTTTCATGTCTCCTCCGTAACTTCTTTATTTATGAAAATATTCGAATAGAAATTTCACATTCTCATGGCAGTTTTTCAAAGTTATTTCGAAAGAAATATGAAATTTATACCAACTCTTCTAGAATTTGAGTTATCAGCACCAACCTCAGTTTTTCAAATGAAGGTCATAGCTCACTATGACTCAGTTACGAATAACTTTTTTTTCTCTTACAGATGATATGTCGCAGTAATAGTAGTTGTGTTGATTACAGCGGAGCTATCGTCATTTATTCAAAAACAAAAAATTATTTGGAAGTCGCCATCTTGAATTTATTTGACAAAAAAATCATGATCTCCTACCTCAAAAACCCCCACTTACCAATTTTAAATGGAATCGGACCAAATCTTGTCCACCATCTTGAAGCAGCCATTTTTTTTTAATTCAACAAAAATTCCATAATGTATTGTCACCGAAATTATGAACACGTGTCAAATTTCAAGTTAATCGAATATTAACAAATAGTGTACGACCAGAAAAATAGCTTTTCAATGATTTATATGATGTGCCCCTGAACTCTATACTTTCCAGCGTCTCCAACAATGATTCATGACTGACAGTATCAAATGCTTTCTCAAGGTCTATGAAAATGCAGAGCGCTGGCATTATCTCATCAATTGCTTTGCTTATTTCTATAGTCAAGTAAGCAATGGCATTTTGTGTTGAAACATTCTCTCTGAATCCGAACTGTTTGTTGGAAATTATTTCATATTCATCAGTATATATGACAATTCTTTGTTTCAGTAGTCTTTAAAATACTTTCGATAGATTCGAGATCAAGGAGATTGGTCTATAGTTTTTGATGTCCCTTTTGTCTCCGCTTTCGAAAATTGGTTTTACAACAGCCGACTTGAATATTCCAGGCAATATTCCAGTTGAATTGAAGAGCCATGTTAAGGGTTCACTTATTTGATGAGCTATCAGGTTGAGTAGTTCAGCTCTCAAGTCATCTACTCCAGGTGATTTTTCGTTTTTCAATGTCATTATAGTATCGATCACTTCTTTGTTATCTGTTTCTGTCAAAAAGAATGAATTGGGTACGTTCATTAGATTTTGTTTATTTTTATTCATATTTTTTTCTATAATTTTTGTGACGAAATCTTTTCCAATGCTAACAAAAAAGTCATTAAACACATAAGCAATTTCCAATCTGTTCTTTGTTAATGTCCTGGTTTTGTTTTGTGTCTCGGTTACCTCAACGTGTTTATTTTCATTCTTGTTTGCTAGTTCATTTATACATTTCCATAGGCCAGCCGAATTCTGTCCATTTTCGGATATTCTATTTTGGTAAAAGTTTCTTTTTGATATCTCTATAAGTTCATTCAGTTTATTTCTATACTTTTTGTAGCCTTCGATATTTTCTGGGGTAGGTTGATGTTTAATGGCTCGGAACATTTCATATTTTCTATTTATTGATTTGATTAGTTCATCAGTTATCCATTCATCACGTTTTATCTCGGATCGTTTCACCTTAACATTCGTTGTACAGGAATAAATACTTTGATGTACAATCTTCATGAACTTTTCCGCTGCAAAGTTTGGATTTTGACAAGCAAAAACATTTTTCCATCTTTGCTGTTTCAGTGTATCAAGAAGTTTAGCTTTATTTAGGTATTGTTTGAAGTGCCTTGGGTTGTCATTGTTTTATTTCAGGTGAACTTATTTGAATTATTGTGGTAAAATGGTCTGTGATGCAAGTATCAAATACTATTGGGGTGTATATGTGTTCATATTGTGCATCTTGTTTGACGAATATACAGTGTGTCCCTAGACCAGTGGGACAGTTGAATATCTCCTGAACCAATAGGAATTTTCAAAATATTATAATTCCACATCATATCGCATCATGAGTGCTAACTTCAGGAATGACTAAATTTTATACGAGGGGCGCAAGAAAGGCTCACAAAATCGAACATCAATTTTTCAAATGGAACACCCCATATATCTCAACATATCGGAGTTCTCATTCCTTTAGGCTAATTATCAGTTTTATATTTTTTTAAATCCGACAAGGCGTTGCCAAGTTATACTAGTGTTTCATGAAATGCAGACATTTTTTTAGACAAACCCATCATTCATACTACTAAGAATTTATGGAATCATTCAAGACTGTTGGTAGTCGGTAGCATATTCTATCGTATGAAATACTCATCTTCTTTGAAAGTTATACAGGGTGGTCAGAAATATTATATGATTTTCACGAAATTCAAACTTTCATCACATAAATTTTTCAAATTGTACACCCTACAATATGTATAATTTTGTATCCCATTGGTGGTTTGATTGCTTATGGTCAATAGTTGTGAAAGAGAGATGTGCCTAATTATTCGTCAAGGTCAGTTTTCTTTTGTTGTGACCTTTTTGTAGTAGTTAAGTACAGTTGAATAAATAGTTTACTGCATTTTTTTTATTTGCATTTGCTGATGATGAAATTCACATCTCTTTTTTACAACTATTGACCATAAGCAATCAAACCACCAATGAGATATAAAATCATACATATTGTAGGGTGCACTATTTGAAAAATCGATGTGAAGAAAGTTTGAATTCCGTGAAAATCATATAATATTTCTAACCACCCTGTATAAATTTCGAAGAAGATGAGTATTTCATATATGATAGAATATGCCACCGACTTCCAACAGTCTTGAATGATTCCATAAATTCTTAGTAGTATGAATAATGGGTTTGTCTATAAAAAAAAATGTCTGCATTTCATGAAATATTGGTATAACTTCGCAACGCCTCGTCGGATTTTCAAAAATAAAAAACTGATGATTAGCCTAAAGGAATGGGACTTCAGATATGTTGAAATATATGGGGTGTTCCATTTGAAAAAATTGATGTTCGATTTTGTGAGCCTTTCTTGCGTTCCTCGTATAAAATTTAGTCATTTCTGAAGTTAGCACTCATGATGCGATATGATGTGGAATTATAATATTTTGAAAATTCCTATTGGTTCAGGAGATATTCAACTGTCCCACTGGTCTAGGGACACACTGTATAATCAATGCATGTTTTTGAGTTATTATTTACCCTAGTGGCAGTGTTGATTGCTGATGATAAGCCATACCCTTTTATTATATTCAAATAATCTTGCACAAGTTCATCGGAACTTAAGATATTTATATTCATATCGCCGATGCAGATTTGGATATCTGTTTTTGGACAGGTTTGCAAATATTCATCTGAGTTTTCATTGAATGTTCTCATGCCAGTAGGAGGTGACCGATAAATTCCTATTAATAAAATGGTTTCGTTGTTGAACTCCGTTTGGATTTCCAAAATCTTTATATCTCCCAGTGATACGATTTTATATTTATTTTATGATTGAGTGTATCTCTGATGTAAATCACTAGTCCGTCATTTTGGTTGAGTTCCCCCTCATTATATACCAAGTTATAATTTTTCAGTTGATGAACATTTATATCTAATATTCCTCAGGTTTCTGGAAGGACGATCATATCGAATTCACATTCAATTTCTCGTAGAGTGACCGCAAGTTCGTCTAGGTTTTTACAAATGCTTCTAATATTTGTTTGCATTACTCTGAAATCATTTTCCCCATTTCGTGTTAGTAGACTACTTAATTCTAAATGACAAAGAAAAAGTTTCACAACGACTTTAGATTGTTCATTTTTTCTTATAGATGTTCTTGGAGTTTGCTGTAGTTTGCTGAGCTGGCGGTGTACTTACAGATTTTTTATCCCCAGTCGATTTCTCAGAAAAGTGTCTTGTAGTAGGTCTAAATACCTGTAGTTGCTCTTCTTGTTGTTTCTCATCTTTCAGGAATTTGTGAAACTCGGGAATCTGTGGGTTTTCTGTTTCGTTTTGGTTTCTTTCCAATGACTTTGCAGCTATTGGTGTTGGTGGGGCACTGCTTGCTCTCTCAGCTTCTACGATATTATGGTAATCTTCAGTATCGAGTTCTTCCAAGGAGTATATGTCTTTGTTTATAACTAGTTTATTTCCTCTTATGTATGCATTCATTCCTTTGTGTCTGGCGATTGTTTGATGTTTCAGTAGCGATTTTCGTGTTAGTTCGTCATCCTTAGATATATCCTCTGTAATTGATATCTCAGAGCCTTTTAGGTTTTTGCAATTCTTCAAAACTTCTTGTTTCGTTAGGTATGAAACAAATTCGACTAGAATTGGACGGTTTGTTTCACGTTTCCCAATGAGCTGAATATTATTTATATGGGTCTCCTGCAAATCAAGATTTAGCAATTGATTCAGACCTGCAATTGTGCATTCAATCAGATTTTCTTTGGGGACATTGAAGTCAAAAATTACCATATTATTTTTCCCGATTTTTCCTTAATCTTCGATCTATGTTTTTGATTTTTTGCTCTAGTATTTTTGTCGAATTTTTGGATGCTGCTTCCCAGCAAACACAAATACATATCTGATACATAACAGTCACATATTTCTGTTCTCATCCGATGTTGCATACATATTATTTGTGCAGTTAAAGTATCTTGCATGTAACGTCAAATTTCCGCCTCCCTGAATATGTCCTTTATATATCTGACATATGTTGGGCGTTTTCGAAGTAACATTTGCATACATGTATCAGATACATACAAGTAACGAATTTGTTCCTATAATGATACTTAAATGAATGTTACAGAGTAATATTTGTGGGATGAATCTAAAATAATGTACTTGATCATCTCGAGAAATATACAGGAATTTGAGTGTCGACAGCCATATTGATAACTTTGTTATTATTGGAGATACAATATTGTTCACATTAACAAACTATCATAGATATCACTGTATCATCGACTATAGAAAAAAAATGTCTCATTATATGTTACAAAAACGCAATGTTCAAATGTTCATTTTTATTCTTTCACCATAAAGAGCATTGAAAATAGTGCTAGTTTGATAATTCAAACAATGTTGTATATTCAATTATAACAAAGTATCCTCTGGTGGACACTCAATTTGGATAACCCTGTATACTTAGGTTGTATATAAGTAACCTACTTGTTTGTGTAATTTATGTCTGATTGTTTTCTGAACCTAGTGCTAGAGAAATGGAAATCATGATTTCTAGATTGAAAATCAATGGAAACCATTTCAGACATCTTCAGCAAAATGAAGTGAGAACTGAAACATAATTAATTTGGAATTATTTGAAATTCAAACTTTGAATACATCACTGAGAAAACGTTGATAGAGACGAACTATTCAAGATAAAAATTTATAATCAATTTGAAATGATCCAGCATTTCTGGCACCGAAATGGAAGAATAGGTACTTCATTGGTGATGATGGGTAAATTGAGTGGTAAATCACCTATATTCATATGCTTCCTAGCTGATGATATCAGGTATATATTCAGGAATGTATTCTCTTTTGAGAATAGCACTGCACAGCAAACTATATTTATATCATTTCTGATAAAACTTTTGACACACCAAAATGGTTTATAATGTCTCGGTGGAACTTTGACCATACACTATTGATAGGTACACCTTTGTGTTTCTAGTTGGGTTCTAGAGTTCTACTTCAGAGGTAAAAACCGACTTTGGAAAATGCACTTGAAAATGTAGTGGAATATGGAATGTTTGATTGTTTGATGACACAAAATCTTCTGTCAAAGAATGTTTCCTTTCTTCATGCTTTTGGGTTTTCTAACCCATCCGATTGTCCCTGAATGTCACAAGTGACAACACCATTACTTTCAACATCCATTTGAGCACATTCTTCAGGTTCAGTTGTTATGGAACGGCTGATGATACTTACATAGCGATGGTTAAAGTGCAAAACCTCATAGGTCGATTTTAGTAAATTTTACAGGAGACGTGAGAAACAGTTCAACTCTTTGATTGAGAAATATGAAGAAGTTTTTCAATAAAAATAATATGAACTGTTCAAGCATTTTCTGGTGATATACGTACTTTATTGAAATTTTCGATTATAGAAAAAAAAATCTACTTACGAGTTTTTGACTTATGATTGTGAAACTTTTTGGAAATACTTTTGAGGTTTTGTAACATTGTAATAATTATAAAAAACGAAAATTGAATTGTAAAAAATGATAATGGAATAGGTTGGTTTAATAAATGGAATAACATTCTTTACGGAACGTCTTCATTCAGAAATTACGAGGAAATACAAATTCCTATTATTTTAATTTAATTGATTGGACATTACTTCTTGAATGTTATTGAACTGATATAATTCCAACTCTTCTGTTTGTTCAAAGATTTGGTTTCTCCTGTTGCGTAGGTACCTGTTGATGAAATTTTTAACAACTGATGTTAATTCATTAGGAGTGACACCTCCAGCAGCCTCATTGAGGTAGAATCTGTATGCAACATGTCTTCGTTTCCTATGTTTAACAAGAAAAATGGAATCTAATGAAAAGAGAAAGAGATAGGGATCGATTTTATTGCCTGTCCGATGGCTTTTTGTAGTAGCTGTTTCTACAAGTCCGCTTATGTAGACTCTTTTCTCACTCACAAAAATATTGTTTTGATGTTGTAGATAGCTCACATTCGCAAGCAGGTCCCGCTTTTCTACCTGTCCTTCGGATTTCCATGTACGTTATTTTCTGCCTTTGAACGTTGAAATGACACATAATTTTCGCCCTTTATTCTCTTTTGTTTTTTATTTCTTCAACTATTTGAAGAATGCACAAATTCTGCTTTCAATCTGATTCTATTTTTTCCTCTTGGTGTTTCTAATTCGTCATTTCTTAGATTTGCTTGTATAACTCCTTGAGCGTCTTTTCCTCAAATTTTTTAGATTCTCTCTTCTCAGAATGGTTTGATGGTACAAATTCAGATCTACTGTCTTGGAAAGGTTCACTTATATCAGTCTGCACATCATCACCAGTGCTTTTTTCTCAAATCAAAATTCATTTAATGCTTGACATCTTTTTTTCATGTTCTGGTTCTCACAAAAAAGAATTTCCTGTAACATTCAGAGAACATCGTGAGAACCAAGGAAAATCAGGTAGGAATTGGGGTTCTTCTCGAATTTCTGGAGGTTATATGACTCGGAGAACACCTCCCTTGGCAAAGTGTTCCAGAGCCTCGCTGTTCGTTGTATGACCGAGTCTTTGAAAAGAAATGTTCTGCAGGTCTTCAAATAACTCAGGCCCCAAATTATCCTCCAAATCAGGATCTATATCAGGCTCCACATTCAATATGTTCGAATTTTCCCTGATATAAGATAAGTATCATCTTGTATATTTTTTCAAAATCATTCACGATATCAGGGCTTTGAGCAGGGCTCGTATCACTGGAGAATAAAAAGTAATGTGAAGTCATACCTTCAGAATGACATAATAGGAATAAAAAATTTGTGAATTTTTAGGTTATTCAATAATTATATGTAACCTTCGAGTATTGGTGTATACTTACACTTAATCACGGCTGTAACTTACGATTTTTGGTAATTTTGTAGTATTTTCAATAGTTCCTGGGCACAGGTTCACAATCATTTTTCCAGCAGTGAGGACATCATTATTCATATTCGACATTGTGAAAGACGAACATAGAGAAACGAATTCAAAACATGATAATTAAGACGTTTAATACACCCTATATATCTGACATCAAAACCTCGTAAGTCGTGTATCATCGCGTGAACAATAGCAAATTCATATAATCAAAACATAAAGTCAATGTAATCATAACCTCGTAAGTCGACTTAAGAGATTCCTGGATTTACTGCCTGGCAAATTAGTTTTACGAGGTTTTGATAGATGACGCTATGTGTCTCTAAAATTGATAATGGACTTATGAGCTTTTGCAGGCAGAAAGATTATGAGTTTTTGTAATGTTTCCCGCATAAAACGTTGAATGGAAAAATTCGACTTACGGGGTTTTGCACCTTAACCATCGATAGATAAACAGACATTGGAAATTGCACATGAAAGTGTCATGAGATATTCCATGACCCAGAAGTCTTCCAAATTGATCTTAATAGGCACAGATGAAAACATGCATCATTCAAAACCCCACTGGGCATCTTCTTCAGATTCAGCTGTTTTGGAATGGCTGGTGATACTTACATAGATAAATGCACATTAGCAGTGTAATCATGTAGAGACAGATACTTAGGTAGGTAAATCATTTTCATTTGTGATATTAATCCCTCGATTCCACCTTTGTCTTGTACTCAACTCGTGAACAGCATATTTTTGATATATTTCAATATCACTATGAACAATCCACAATGAAAACAATACACTGTTTGAATTGAAAAAATATGTGAGACAAACATGCAAAGCATAACATAACCTTCAAAGGAAACTAACATGAAGTTCTCTACATCAACTAGGTACCAACTCCTACAGAACAGAACGTTTCACTGTTATGAATATGTTGGTGATTTTAGAAACAACCTTGTATAGTTTCGAGACATAAGTGAAACATGCGATTTGGTTTCCTTCACCATACATGTAAATTCAACTGTACAATCTTTTTTCATGGCATTTGAAGCATCATAAATGTATATGATGTGATTCCTGTCACGTAACCACCTGAACAAGAAAATATATTGCATGAAATGTAATAGCTTTGTAGCAGATATATTCCACCGTGATGTTTCTCTGGAACCCTGATGAGCTCCATTTGCCATATGGCAGACATATGTGTGTTTGCTGGGTTATCACCTTATATACATTTTTTCATTTAATTTTCTTTCAATAATTGTTCTCATAGAAATTTGAATCTGTGGTCAAAATAAATTTCATATTTCGTGGGCAAAATGGGTGAGGAGCCTATGCCCTTTTTTGTGGTTGTTATGATAATAGTAATAATGATGGAAATCCATTGCGCACTAGCCACAATACTTAAAGTAGCATGAAATGTCGAATAAATGCAGAAAAGCTTTAGGTCTTTTGCACAAATATTCATAAAATGAACAGGATGATAACGGGAGAAAAACAAATTATATTGTTCTGGCTTATGCCACGCGTAACATTGAAATACATCCTCCTGAAATCTATGCATGGACCATCATAACCGAAAACTTATG